AATCAGTGCACCGTGCCAGCCTGCTGGCATTACACCTGACCTAAAGGCAGAATGCGCCACGGCCCAGGGACGCTCAGGATTCTACCATCTTAATTCCCTGCCCCAAATGTGGACCTTACTGTCATTTCACTTTACTATTCTTTTCTTCTATGTAGCTGTGTCTCTAGTTTTATAAAGGAAAGGGGAACATAAAAGATTCATGCTACGGAAATTTGCTTTATGAGCAACTTTGCTAAGACAACAACAACAACAACAACAGTAATTCCCCAAACAAAAGGACACTGCAGAGGGGACCCTCTAACCACTTACCAGTCTCAGCCAGCAAAAGGTGGCCTGGGGGGGACAGCAGACCAGATTAAAATCTCCTGCACAGGCTCATTGGTTTTTCAGTGTCGACGGCTATTGTGATGGGCTGAATGCCGTCCCCGCAAGAGATGTTGCAGTCCCCACCCCCAGGACCCCTGCATGTAATCTCATTGGAAAGCAGGGTCTTTGCAGATGGCCGAGCGAAGATGAGGCCATCACGGTGGGCTCTGATCCAACACGACTGAGCTCTTTCTGGAACTGGCATTACCCTCCCACAAGCCGAGCTAGGAGAGAACCCTGGGACTCCCTCCCTGGTGCCTCCAGCAGAAGCCTGGCTCTGCTGACACCTTAACCTTGGACTTCAAGTGTCCAGAACAGTGAAACAATAAGTTTCTGTTGTGTGAGCCACTCCGTTTGTAACACTTGCAACAGCGGCCCGAGCAAACTCATAGAGCTGTTATGGGATCACCCCTCCCGGGAAGCCACCTTCTCACACCCCAGACTTCAAGGCCTGCAAGAGGCATCAGAAAAGGAACTACGGGTCAGCTACCTTTGTTCTCCAAGTCCAGCTCATTTCAAAATAAACCAAATGAAAAGATGTGCCTATTTGGTTACCTGCTTAAGACGCACTTATAGAACAGGATTTGCTTGCTTGAAGAAAAAGAAAAAACAGTAAAAACAAATGATCCATCTCAGTAGTGTTTTCTGAATAGAACTAATAACACATGTCTTTTAATATTTAAAGACACAATTTGATTTAAAAAAAAAAAAAGAGAATTAATGTTATCACATAAATCCCTTCTCATCTAGTACTGAACTTCACAGAGGACAAAGTAATTTTAGTCGTTCTTCTTGTTCTGGAATGGGAAAGAATGCATGCTGCTGACATCAAGTTACTGTCCAGATCCTTGACCAAAAATATATGTAACGCTGAAAGCGATACAGAAGTTTCAGTTTGTGAACTATTCGAAAGAATAAGAAAAAGCCTACTTACTACATGTTGGACAATTTAGTACACATATTTGACGAATGAATTAAACATAATCCTATGGGCTATACCAAAAGCAACCCTGGGAAAATATACTAAATGTCCATTTAATTATGACATATACGAAAACATTCACGTTGCCTAAAAACAAGAGTTGGGAGGCTGTTAGTTGAATTTTTCAAGTACAATAGGGGAGACTAGGTTAATTTTGATGTTATTTTCTTCCTACACCCTATTTGACGGCACTAAGATATATCATTTTTGTCTATGATTACATTTACCCATAACTGAAACCAGTTTCAGCATTGTGAAATGGTAGATTTTACTGAAATCATGCCATGTCGAGATGAACTCAAAGCATTTTTTACACAC